GGGGGGGGGGGGGGGGGGGGGGGGTTAGCGCCGCCCCTGCTTCGAGCCTTCATCATTCAAACATTCCAACTTTCTGATGAAGGCTTGAAGTACCGAGTTGAAAGCTCAAAACATTTAAATTACAATCCAGAGAACACAATAATATATATATATATATATATATATATATATATATATATATATATATATATATATATATATATATATATATATATATATATATATATATATATATATATATATATATATATATATATATATATATATATATATATATATATATATATATATATATATACGAGAGCCTGCTCACAGACTACTTAGATCCCAGCTACAAAACGATAATTTTTAAAAATCTCATTTGAGATTTTGTGTTAAAAACTGTGTACAGGTCATGAAACAAACAGAAGCATTAAGGGGACTTTGTGTATTACAGGTACAGCACTGTGTGGACTTAAAATGCAAGTCCACATTATGTAAAAATTCTTACATAAGTTCCCACAATGATAGTTGCATTTCTTACACATTTTTTACACTGAACTCTTCAAGTGTCATTGTGGGAACGTGCAATTCTTCCTTATTATTCTTTACTCTTTGTGTTTCTCGGTATATTCTGATATGTTCTATAAAGTTTGAGTTTTGTTTTTCAATGTGATTTAGTAAATTTCATAAAGTTCTTCATTTTCAGATGAAAATAATGGGAAAACATTGTGTGGACTTGGTCCGAGGCCACACAATGTGGTTAGTCCCCGTAAGGTAAGACACAAACTTGTGGAGGTCCCCGCAATGTGTGGTGCGCATAAGCACACACACACACACACATACACACACACACACATACACACACACATACACACACACACACACACACACACACACACATACAAACCCAGATGATTACATAACCTCCTGGCGGAGGTAATAAACTTAGCATCCAAAACCAAATTTCAGTATCCCGTGGATATCGGGATACCGCAAATTTCAGACCCTGTATATAGCCTATACCAAACCAAAAGGTTTACGGCATATTTCACCAGATGAAGACAATTCCTGGTACTATATACACTGTTATTTCAGACGTTATTTGCTACTATATGCCATCGCGTATACACCCCACGTGCAGTTAGAACTAAACATACTTCACAGTCCACTATAGTGTATCACACGCCAAGACAAAGGCGAAATTAAAGGGTAGTAGAGCACTCGCATCCCACTCCATATTTATTCGTCGCGCATCGAGACAACCTATATGATCGGCCAGCTCATGATTACACAGAGCAGTTTCTGCTTTTCTCCGTCTCTCTTTTAGTCATTCTGCTACAAACGAAGGAAGGACATGAAGAAGATCTCAGGACTTGCTAGTTCTCCTATATCTATGGTCCCAAGTGTCATCGACAGGGGGGGGGACAACCATATTTGGTGGTAAAATTTTTTCAAAAATACGCACTAAATCCGATTTTAATCTCTTTACCTTCGCTACTTTTGCTTTCCACACAAAACTAGCTTCTTAGCACATACATAGCATACGCTTTATAAAATACTTAAAAAAATGGACCTAAACAATATTGGAGCGACAACAATTTTGGAAAGTTTCTCCGGAAATTTTTCTCACTTGATGAAAAAACTTTTTCATCTCTTTTTTTTCTTTTCTTTTTTTCACATTATTTATTGTACGTTGGAACAGCACTATAGTATCAATAGTATCAATATATATATAGCCTTAGAATGTTATATATTTTATGGCAATATTTTATAAAAATTTCATCGGCAAGTTGCTGAATATTTCAAAAGTATCAACAATTAGTAATGTTTCCAAGACCTCTCTGAAAATCGGAAGCAAGTCATTAAAATGATATAATTATATGTTCTATTTCATTTCAAAAAGCAAACAAATGTTCCTCTTTTGTTACGATAGCACTACCCTGGATTCCAAAGCCTTTGACAGCAAATAATAAATTGAAACATTGCAAAAGCTCTGGTTCAACAGGAAGATTCTTTGATTTATAAACCGTGTCAATCACAGAACAGAATTAGTGCTGTTAGTACAGAATCTGTACTAATTACTAAAACCACTAATTCTGTTTTGTGATTGGCGCAGTTTAATCAAAGAATCTTCCCGTTGAACCAGAGCCTTCGCAATGTTTCAATTTATTATTTATTGTCGAAGGCTCTGGAATCCAGGGTATGATAGCACACATGCTTTCAATATTTTTCCACAAACTGCTTATTTTGGGCATGGTATAGCGCCGCAGTAACTTTTCAGGATTTTCATAAATCAGCAAGATCTCGCTTGTAAACTTGTCGAAATGTTTTCTCTCTAACCTGTTACAAAAAACTTTAATTAAGAACGAATTTACCAACCTCCAAAATTAATGGCTACCGTAAGCGGTCAGTATAATCTGCAGACTGCAGACCGGGTACAAAATGCAGACTGGGGGTATAAAATGCAGACTGAGGATAAAATGCAGACTGGGGGTGAATTAGGGATATTTTACAAATTCCCGCTAAGCCATAGTCGAAATGGACAAAGACACAATGTAGAGGTATTGATATTATATGAATGTTTATATTATTCTCATTCAACCGTAAAACTTGATAACTTTAACACATTTCTTTATGTTTAATATTTGAACGTTTGGTTACGTTGCATTAGATCGGAACAATGAAATCTGGACGTTTTGAGTGTGAAATTGTAATGGTATATATCGTGTCGACTGTCAAGCACATGGTTTTGTATTAGCAATTTTTCATATTTTCAAGCGTTTCGCTCCTGTAATTCAAGTTCATATACATATATAGACCAATAGCAAGCTTGCGTTTGCAGAATTTTGAAACATATATGAGCAGAGTGCTTGTCGACAGTCGACACGATATATACCATTTACAATTTCACACTCAAAACGTCCAGATTTCATTGTTCCAATCTAATATTAAACGCAAAGAAATGTGTTAAAGTTATCAAGAAAGGAAATTTAATTATGAATTCTACACAAATAAATTAAAAATATTTTACTCTAGAGTTTTGAAGGATGTTTTTATTGTAAAAAATGTACTGGTAGGTGCATTTTACGTCGTTTCAAATCGTGTTTTAGTGCATTTTTTTACCCAGTTTTGGAAATTTAAAAAACCCGCTTTCATTTCCGTTACGTGAAAAGACTGGGCATGACAACAGTGGGCATGTCTGGGCATGGCTTCACATTTCCGGCTGGAGGTATCGTTCCAGTTATTTTTAGTTCAATGGGTATACCTTCCTATTCTGTGACTAGGCGTACTGTTCCAGTACTTCGTATTAATAATAATAATTGACTTTTTAATAATAATAATACGACAATAATTAATTTACACTGCAGACAAAATAAATTAATAAAAATATGTTTAGTCCATAAAAGTATCTTTGGTCCATATCATTAATAATAATCTATAATAGTAATAATCAGTAATAGTATACGTAATATATGTATTAACAAAGAAAAGAATGATAAAATACGGAATACAGTTAAAAAGGAAAAAACTAACTACAAATGTTAAAAACTTAATTTTAAGAAAGAATGAAACATGTTCCGTGAACAATTACACTAATTGTAGTATATGATTTAATCTAGTTATGAAAATCCAAGTTCAAGGGTTAATAATTAAATTACTTTCAGCAACCTCCGTTGCTATTCCCATGTCCGTATGACGGCGCCGACGCACTCTTGATCCTCTTATACAGGATATAGTTGATTTCATTAGAGCAAATGATATGTGACATCGCATCCAGGCTAATGTGGTATTGTAAGGAGATTTCCGTTTGTTGGCCAAAAGTTCCGCTAGTCTTTTATAAACCACTGTTGTTTCTCCGCTGGCACCTCCTGTTGTTGAAAAGACCAGTGGTGTAAAGGAACCATTTTCAACTTCCCTTATATATATTACCAGACAGGTATAGACAGGGCACACGGCACGACTACATCACTATACGAGAACAAAATAAAGCCATCCTTACCTGAATTATTCAAAATATTGTCGATCATTCTTGCGCCAGAGACACAAAATAACACCGTGCTTTATTTACCCATTCATTTTCACAAATATTACTCGGAATTTTTATGGAAATTCGCATTATTTTATGATTTTTATATTTCTGTCCGTTTATAACAGTCGCCATGTTGTGAACAAACCCCCCCGGGAACAAAAAAATAATATCAAAACAGCTAGTTTTGGCCCGTCCGTGGATGACAAAATGACATAAATCGAGATTGTAGCGGCTATAAACTCGGCGGGTCACGTGGTAAGCACACCACGTGTAGAGATTAGTGTGCTGCCTCGCTACGCTCGGCAGCAATGAACTAATTATTAAAAAGTAAACAGACCTTTAACTCTTTCCCGACAGGTCCCTATTAAGTAAATCACTCATGATTTACGACTTTGCAGGGTCATATCGTCAGTTGGGTGCATGCTATGTAGATGAAAATACCACCATTCCATTCAGTGAAACAATATCTCCTAATACCTGTCGATAGTTTTAGTCAAATATAATTTTAGTGAAATTGTATAACAATTTATGACCTTTCGACAGGTCAAGCGGTGTCATATTTCATTATACTAGGAGTTACTATCGCAAGGAAAATGCTGCCGATATGTACATGTAGGATGTGCTACAAAAAGAGCGTTTTTCACTGTATGTATGATTTATTGTCTTACACATCGTCGTTCCTCAGTTACCTTCGTACAATTATATCTTACATCTAATCTTATGAAAAGTATATTTTAATATACTTAACAGTGCGACTTTGATAGTTGACACATAATACGTCAAATGATAAAATGTGAATATTATTGAATGATTTTGTCACTCGTACAACTTTTAATTTGGCTATTCAAACAATTGATTTAAAATAGTTGAATTTATACTTACTGGGATGTTATTGCTTATTGGGATGTTGAAATTATGTTTGTTTTAAATACATTTAATTGATATTCCATAAATTCATTTTGTATGATTTCATTGACCTTCACGTTGTTCAAAATCATTTTGTATTGTATTGAAACTGTATGTCTATGACCTATGTTATGTACTATATTAACCCATTGAGCCGCATTGCACCCTGATGCACCCTACTTTGAACAGTATTTTACTCTGTCTAACGCCAGACGATTTTACTCGTCAAGGGGTGAGTGCTGGCGCTTAATGGGTTAACTGATCTATCTGCCCATGTGTCTAGTTAACCCATTGGGTCGCATTGCACCCTGATGCACCCTACTTTAGTATTTTACTCTGTCTAACGCCAGACGATTTAACTCGTCAAGGGGAGAGCGCTGGCGCTTAATGGGTTAACACGCCCAAAATCTGTACTAAAACTGCTAATTCTGTTTTGTGATTGGCACAGTTTAATCAAAGAATCCTCCCGTTGAACCAGAGCCTTCACGATATTTCAATTTATTATTACCTGAAGGCTCTGGAATCCAGGATAGCTTGCCATTGAATACAGTGCAATGCTTATATTTCTGAATGAATAAGATCATACTCAGAACAGTCAGAACTGCAAAACTATATTGTTAGAAAGAAGTTGAAGTTGTAAGCATTATTGTGGTAACACAGCCATATGTATATATCAATGTATGTCAGTAGAATCATGTTTATAGGCTTTATATATAACTGAGGCCTTATACAAGTCATATCTTATACAAAAGTCAGTTGATATGCTATATTACATGTAATTGCTGATAAGTCCATATATGCAGACAACAATCCACACTGGGTAGCTCTAGGAATCTTGTTAAGCCTGATTTAACAACATCCCGCGTTTGTTTTTAAACTATAAACATTTAGAAATAGAACATACCGAACACTATTATATACTCACCGCCTTTGGCTTTGCACATATTAAGTGACATAACAAACAAGTAAACTAAAAGTTCATTTGCTTCTTGTATCAGCATAAAGGCATTAATCATTACTGTCGATTTGGTCGGGAATAGATCAGTGATTCAGTGGGTATTATAATTGCCGATATATTCTTGAAATCATTTTGTTTCAATGCCTCTATATCGAAGTTTAATACACTAAAGTGACTAAACAAGTATAAACAGCAGAATTTAAATATAAATGCCTTCATGTATTATAAAATATATCACCAGACAGGTAGACAGGGCACACGGCACGACTACATCACTATACGAGAACGAAATAAAGCCATCCTTACCTGAATTGTTCAAATATTGTCGATCATTCTTGCGCCAGAGACACAAAATAACACCGTGCTTTATTTACCCATTCATCTTCACAAATATTACTCGGAATTTTTATGGAAATTCGCATTATTTTATGATTTTTATATTTCTGTCCGTTTATAACAGTCGCCATGTTGTGAACAAACCCCCCCGGGAACAAAAAATAATATCAAAACAGCTAGTTTTGGCCCGTCCGTGGATGACAGAATGACATAAATCGAGATTGTAGCGGCTATAAACTCGGCGGTCACGTGGTAAGCACACCACGTGTAGAGATTAGTGTGCTGCCGAGCTACGCTCGGCAGCAATTAATCAATTGTCTCGAACAATGTAAACTATCAATACCTTTTGCCGAACATAACTTCGGTCCCTTTTGAGATATCGTTTTCGCTATAGTCTTATTCGAAACAGAATCAAAAACACTATTGAAAGTGTTATTTTCAAGCTTGTAGCCTTAGTTTTTCGTCTTTTATTTCGGTATTTCAATCTGTTGCGAAACTAATGAAATCAGCGGGATATTTTTAACCGGAAATACATTTTAGATCTGCCAAAACATCGCGTGTTTACATCCTAGCGTTCGGAAAACATCGGAAATCGATTCTAAAGGTCAAATTACACCTGAAGCGTGCTTTTCACGTGCACTGGGCTACGGGAGACCCCTTATTGGCCAATTTTACATGCAGCACGCGCGTGCGAGTAAAAACCCGATGAAACCCGATATTTTGAAAAAAACAAAATAAACATTTCTACTCGCCGTATTCAAACGAAACTTTCTACATAAAAGCGCTTGAATACAAGGAATATTTCACTAACATTAACTTGTGGCGAATACTGAAGAGTTTAGAAAATATTCAACATTTTCTCCATATGAAAATACAGAATGTTTGGCCAAGCGGTGAGTAAATATATGATTGTTTCGGTTTGTGTATTTGTTTTGACGGCATTAGACCCCCCGATGAAAAGCTTATTTTGTTAAGATTTCAATGGTGTTCTTTGTTTTTAAGGGGGGTGAATACGCACTGAAATATTTACGTTATAAAACAGTTGAATCAAAATATTGCTTGCCGTGAAAAATGTCACATGTCGAGAAAGAGTACTGAAGAACTTGATTGGCTTGTATACATTGGTTTCTTTGTCATATAGTTCAATTGCTGTTGCTTGTAAATGTTTTATAAACCAGTACTGCGAAGTAGCGAAATTTTGGGCCGTCTTTCACAACAAATAACATCACAATAACTGCACATCATTTTCTCTTTAACACAGAATCATTTTCCCCGTCCATTGAGTTATAATTTCCAAAACGAACCAGTCGCTATAACGTAAAATAAGCGGGTATTTGTGAACAAAAATGCCCTTTGATATGACACGAGGTAACCAGCGCCATCTTGTCTTCTCCAAACATTACAGATTTTCCCGCCAAAACCCGCCCCCAAAGTCCCGTATGTACCTAGTCTCCTACGCAGCCTGTTCGCGGGTCCGAGGTTTTCTCACAGGCTGCTTTAATGCCGCAGCGGCATAGTACAAAACATGGACTGGACTGGACAGTTGGACTGGACTGGACAGTTGAACTGGACTGGACAGTTGAACTGGACTGGGCAGTTGGACTGGCTGGACAGTTGGACTGGATTGATTTTTACATTTTCTCTATTCTTGACTTGCATGTCACCCACCATGTCAGGTGGCATGGCACAAAAGAATATTTTATCACAGCAGATATACCTAGTCTGCGCACAGACTGTCTCTTCCCCTCCGTGGTGGAAGGATTACAGTCTGCGACCATTTGTCACTAATGCTGTACAGTGACGTAGACGTATAAATAGATATAATATTGTGCACTTCAGCACTTTAATGGCTTTCTAATTTTATTATCCAATCAGGTGCGTTACTTTAAATAAAACTTATATTATGTAAACAAGGTCAATGAACAATAGACAAGGTCAAGCAAAACAATACAACGAAATCGAAATATAAACTCGCAAAAAATATGCCAGTTTTGTAAATTCTACCAAATTTATTCATCCCAAAAGATTAAATGCTCTTTTGTGTGGTAATGTCTTTCCTAACAGCACCCAGAAACTTTATGTAATCGGTAAAACCGGTATACTTGTCTCGAAATTAGCTAAGCAAATTTATGCAAGTATAATTTTGAAACGAACCAATGAAAAACTGCCGATCATATTTCGTCGGTAGCTGTACGGCATTAGCGTCGAATGACAGCAGACTGTAATCCCGCGCGGGAGCGGGATGCAGTCTGCGAGCAGACAAACCGTTTACTAGTGTAATCGTTTTGTTTGACTCGGGCGTTAAAATATTTGGACAAAGCGAAAACGTTTTAAAATGCTTAAATGTAAATACAAGTTCATTAAATTCCCAGGCGTGTAATCACGCGCGTTTAAGAGCGGCTTAAGAACAATGAGATAATTTCTATAGTGTCACTTTTTTTTGGGACACCCTGTACATGAACGCTTTCTCAGAAATCCATGTTGTAGTGGAGAAATTAGTTGAATAACGTCAGCGTACATGTGATTGTAGACGCAGCGTTCCATGACTTTACTCACAATTGATAGCAGGGAAATAGGTCTATAATTTTCGGCTGGTTCTTTGGAGTTTTTCTTGTCGACAGGCGTGACGTTGGCAGATTTCCACTCGGAAGGAAAGCGACCGCAAATGAGAGAGTGGTTGAAGATGGTACAAAGACTTGGTGCAATTTGTTGACTACATTCCTTCAAGAGCCTAGAGGGTATCCCGTCTGGGCCGCAGGCTTTTGTTGTGTCCAAGGAATTTAGACAATCCGAGACCTCTTCGACACAAAGGGTAATGTTGGATAGTAGCATGTCCGTCATTAAAGGAAATGAGTGGCTTGATGTAACTTTATTGACCGCATTATCAGTGCTTGGATGTGACAACGTTGAAGAGAAATATTGGTTGAAAAGGTTTGCTTTTTCTGATGCAGTTTTAGCTGTGGCACCGTCATATGTAAATGGTGCTTGGACTAGTCCGATGATGGAGAATGACTTTGTGATAGCTCCAAAAATGCTTAGGGTTACGGCTGAGCGAGTGTTCAACTTTAGCTAGGTACTCGCGATGTTTTCTTTTGATGAGACTCTTGACGTTTTGAGTAGATGTGCGTAGCCTTTCATACAACGGTTTTCGATTCTCGAAATTTTCTCAGAGCAACATATTTCTTACGAATTAAGTGACGCACTCCTCCGTCGACCCACGGTGGGGAATTGGTATCCTTGATTGTTTTAACGGGAATGAATTTGGCTACTGCTTTTGAAAACAAATTCTTCCATTTTGACCAGCAAACATCAATATCGTCTGAAAGATCAATGTCCAGGGGTTCACGAAGAAGGCCGAAGCTGCGTAGGTCATTGAAATTCCCATGCTCGTAATTGTAGGTCGTACGCGTAATTGGCTTTGCTCGTTTAAATCTTAATTTAACCCGAAATTCTATAATGTGATGATCTGTCGGGAAATTATGTTCTTCAGGAGAGACTGCAGTAACATTTTCGATAACCTCTGGTTGGTACACAATAATAGATCAAGCTTATTACCAGCGATATGGGTGGGACCTTTTATGGATTGTTGAAGGAAATTGTCGTCCACAAAGTTACAGAAAATGTCATCATCCGCGAGTCCTCTGGCATTCAGCGGTGCAGACTGATCTTCAGACCACGAAATGGTGGGTAAGTTAAAGTCTCCCAACAGGACGATGCAACTGGACTCAGGGGAGTCTTGAAGTGAAGAGTTAAGTTGGTTTAGAACGTTGGGCGGGGATTGAGGAGGACGATAGAATGTATACAGGAGCAATGGCTTACTACAACTTTTGTGAATTTCAACAGCGATTAGCTCAATGTTCTCCTTTTCGAGGTCTTCCCGACGGCGGCTTTCTATATTTGTTCTTACGGCCACTAGCACACCTCCACCGATCTGCGCTTGTCTGTCGCGGCGGTGGATTGAATATCCAGGAAGCAATTCATTGTTTAGAACAGAATCATTTAACCAGGTTTCACAAAGACAGATGATGTCATAGTCGTTACTATAAACCAACTCCTGAAGTATGGACATTTTGCAAACTTTGCGTGAAGGTCGTCATTAAGGGGTACGAAAGCTTTAATACTTCGAGCATTCAGATAAAGAACATTTAAGCCGGTAGAAGGGGCAGTACTAGGACCAGGATTGGTAGCAATATCGCCAGATAGTAAGATGCAAATAAGTGCATGACTTGAAAACTTGGTGGTCCGTAGTTCTATACCGTAGCGATGATATTTTGGGAGGTTGAATTTTCTCAAATTTGTATCTCGTGTAGAGATCCATACAAAACAGAGTTTGTCGGGGAGGATTGCAAGATTTGGACTAATTGCTATGTTTCCCAAAGGCGAGCTAGTGTCGGGATGATAATTGATTTGACTCGGTTGCAGTTTTAGACACACGCAGAGAATTGATAAGAGAATTATAACTAGATTTTTAGCTGTTGCTAATGATTGTTCGTTAGCTATGGACATAGTTGATAGTTCATGAAGTGTCAAAATGATAAATATTCAAAATAATTTCACATAAATCGTTTCCCAGAGGCCAGAGAGAAATGTTTCACATTGACAAGGACAACACGCCAGATTAGTTAATATTCACGCAGTTTATGTAAAAGAGGGGAAATCCCTGAAGTTAACACTTAACACCAAGTTATAAATAATCACGCTCCATTAACACAGCAACCATGAAACTTTGAATAAATCACAAAATATTCAGCCAGTAAAATAGAAAATATACGAAAATGTCGTTATTAACAGGTCAAACACAAATCCAAAATATAAAGTTCACTTTAAACACCCAACACCAAGTTACAACGCCATAAAGTTGTTGCTATGGAAGGCGACGCCAGACAAAATTTGAATTTAAAGTTCAAACGGTCAAAATAGTAAAAGTACAATAAATCCCGAATAGGACATCCAAATGAAATAAAATTTACACATGAGAACAGGAACACAATTTGTAGTTCACTTAAGAGATTTCAAATGAATAGGACCAAGACGACTGAGATAATCTGTGCATGAACCAAAATTCCTGCTTGTAGCGAGCGACGCTGAACTATGATACAAAATCACCGCAAAAGAATCCAATACAACTCCTTTCGACGAGCTTACACCAATTTGGGATTATACTAGACGAACCAGATCTTTAGCTTTAATTTGTTGCAAAGATGAGCGATGTAAAATGAGAAATGACTTATTTACGGCCGAAATAAATCAGAGGTCACTCGACCGTAAACCTTGACCGTAATTTAATTCATACAAATCAACATATAAGACATTTAAACAGTTTTTTTATATCTAAAATGGTTTCGAGTTATACGCTGTCAAAAACGTGTTTTTGACCTAGTACCCAGTCCTTATTGCGACATTTTGGTCCAATTTTCAAATTTAAAACCGCAATAACTCAAAGATTAATTGAAAAATAAAAAAACTGTTTAAAAGTCTTATATGCGGTTTTAATTTTTGTACGTTTTCCGATGATGCAAGTCATTTTTATTGTAATTGAATACAGAATTTCCCATTTTTTTGCTGTAATACAATTAACAGAGGATAATCATTGATCACCCATTTTCTTGGGATTGGGCAACTTTTTTGCTTGGGAACTTTTTTTGGTAGTGATGTACCTATATGCGTTTCAAATAAACCCCAAACCCCAAACCGCATGGGTGCCACGAAGCGAAATATTTTTGGCTAACAGCCCACGGCCTATACACATAGACGTAAATTTGGCCGACCTTGATGGGGGTGGGGGAGGGGGGAGTGAATAAACGTTTTTGCTACGCTACATATTTCGTGGTATTTTCGTACAATCTGGCAAGTGTTTTTAACAGAATCTACCCAATTGCTTTGTACCTATAGAATTGTCCGACTTCTAAGTATAACCTGCCAGACTTAAAAAAAAAGATTTGGGTAGGGCGCTGCAGCCTTCTAGCTTCCCCTGCAGTACGCTTATGACCAGTGCATTCCTGAAAGGGCGCAGAAAAAAGATAGCATAATGGAAAGACTTGCGAAGAACGAAGTCTGTCAAAAAGTTTTTTTGCATGCGGAAGGCAATCGGTTTATATCAGACTCATGAAAAGGAGTGTGCCAACTAGTATTTCTTACAGCTTAATATGTAACTTTAATTAAACTCTGTCAAAATTAAAAAGTCAACATTCAATTTAACTTTACACTCCGTATTTCATCTCCCGGAGATGGTGGAACATCAAGCATGTCATATTAATTTCCTTTGTCATACCCTATATACTGTAGGTAGTCATACCGGTATTATCAGGCAAATGCCTTTGCCACTACGATCAGTTATTCTCTGCAATGGTCAGTTGGATAACTCTTAGCATCCATAATAATATCGCCATCAAGTTACGAATATGTTGTTGGTATTAATTTTTAGAAACATCCAAGAAACGTCCATGTGGTGCAACAAATGTTCACTTGGAATTGAAGACCCGGAAACCTTATCAAATGGACGAGGATTTGATTTCCACGATTCACTGGGAGCTTAACACTACACTCTGTCAATGTATGTAACTTAGATTGATTTAGCTACTACATAGGAAGTTTTTCGCACAACGGACTGTATAGGATCAACTGAGATATAAGGATCAAGGATAATTCATAGCGCCATATTGTTTATTGTTAGTATTACAGTAATAGAAATACATGCATGCACCACTAACACCCCTAGCCTATATTTTTCAAACGTTGATTTAACATGCATGAAGTATCAGTAATTAGCCAACTCTGAACGGCAGGCTCATGTTGTGTGTTGCCATATGTAGCAAAACAGTTATTTTCAAATTCTTAAAATATTTTTTCAACAAAATGGCAACAACAGTTAAGAGATTATAGTACTTTTAACTATACAACGACCAATTTACAATATATATACTGTTGGTATGTTATTTTGCATTTTGTGAGCTTTGATCTTATGTGAAATTTCACCAGAAACATAATTTAGTAAATTATTTAACTTTTTTCCTTAATTAACTTAACAAAGTAATTTCGCAGCTACACTGAAAAGGAAAACAGTGCATTTTGTACGCAAAAAAATAAAGCATCAAAATTCAGAAGTATTTATTTTCAAGGCACACTTGCCCTGTCTCTCACGATTTTCTATGGTAGCTAATATCGATTCTTCCTATTTCTTCAACGAAAAATTGCTTCAAAGATCATTGTATGAAACGATTTTCTGAATAAGTAGTGAGATGTTGCTTATCCCACTCCTGTGAAGCATCCATAATTTTGAGAACATGCAGTGAGGTTGTCCAACCACACACCCATGACATTTATACTCGTTCCACTATCGTATGTTTCAAATAATATCGTTTCAAATTTCAAAACTAACATGCACTTAAAGTTTCTTGCAAAGATCTTCAGTTTAATACAACGCTCAAAATAACGTTCTTACTACCCGGTGTCCAATAATTTAGTCGTGGTGGTCAATTTCTGTGTCTGCTTGGTCTGATAGTTTCCATAAGTGGTGGTACAGTAAAATAGTTGAATTTTCTATTGCTAGCGGTGGTTGGTTGTTCTTCATCAAAGGCTATTATATTTGGGTTCCCAACCGCTGGTAATCCTGTGTTTTCTATCTGCATGATCATGTCCCTGCTCGCCGTCTTGAGCTGGTGTCACCGCATCGGTTACGTCCACCCCACTATTCTGGTCACACGCCAATGGTACGAATGTTAACCCATCTAATTCGTCTTCATCTGATTCCAGCTCACTAGTCGATCTTGTGCTGGGAAGAACTGTATTCTCCCTTTGATGCCGGACGAGGTGTTTTTTTGTTCAACAGCGGTTCTACGGGAAGTGAACTACACGGTAATAGCATATTACGATGAGGAGCTCTACTCACCATCAGAACATCCGGGTTTAACTGTACAAACTGGGTTATCCTACCCTCTTCTTGTGACCACGATATGTGTAAGGTTTATTTCATTTACTCAGATTTCGTACAAGAACTCTATCCCCCGGTCGTAAATCAGAACTAACAGATGCGGTGGTCGTATTAGCTTTTTCCTCTGTGAACTCTTTTCAATTGCAATCTTGTAGACTTCAGACATCGCTTCGCTCCAGTTCTTCTCCAAGTTTAGGATCATATCAATAGGTAGATACGGTGGCCCAAAAGGGCCATCGCTTAAAAGAAACTAACGTTGTAATCGTCCTAACACTGCTCGTCGCTTAATAACAATATATGATTTGTTGGGTTATTCGCCTGCACTTCCATAAAATTAGTCTTCGCTTTCTTTTACTGTTAGCAATATCTCATTATACAGAAGGGCCAAGGCATTGTTTCATCTGGTTCTGTATTAACTCGACACTGAATGTTTGCCTTGCAACAACCTCGACACTGAATGTTTACCTGTTTACCACTAGGTATAACAACGTCCTTTTTGTTTGTTTTTACATTGCAAAAATAATCACTGACAGCACATTGAACGAAGTTAATTAATGTTTGCGCCGCACTATTGTCAAGTCCAACAAATAAAAATTGACTGATTTCTGACAATGAATCATGTTCATTTGTCACATTATCTTGAATCACATTGTTGCCCATTATTGGGTACTGAATTGTTTCAGTTGTGACAACAAATGGCAAGCGTACATGAGTGTTCTTTGAAGACAAGTAGTCTTAAAGATTTTAGGGTTAGTATATGATCGGCTGTTCTATGATTAGGTAAGAACCCAATTTGTGAAGGATGAAGAGTGTCATTTTCTTAGGTAAAAGTATGAGTCTTTCGTTGAGTATTAAACAGAAAAATTTACCAGGACAACTTGTAATACATATTCATCGATAATTATTGCAGTTAAGACGCTCGTCTGATTTGAAAATTGGGGTTATTAAACCTTCACACCACTGACTAGGAAAGTTTCCCGCTTCAAGTATAAGATTACACCTGTTTTCAAAATTACGCGACCAAGGACGAAAATGCTAGAGTTGACATGTCAGTTTTATGTCATCGGGTCACGAAGTTTAAACTTTGAGTTTTGCGGTTCCTTGTCGATGTATACAGGGTGTATCAAAAAAAGCGCAATCCTCGACTGAAATGTAAATTGCTAAACAAATAATAGACGAAAACGTTAAAGTTTACATTCATTTTAAAGCGTAGCCATTCAGCTTTCTAACAGTGGGTTGTTTCTTAAATTTGACTCATTGGTTCGCGGCTAATAATACTTTACGTTATTGCTATTGGAGATTAAAAAAATTGAGATGGAATAACAAATCGTTCTCATGAAAATAACTGATTTTTTCATTAAAACAAAAAAATGCTGCATTTTATTAAATGGATTGTAACAATAAGTATAATTACGGCTTTTCTTCCACTATTTTTAACTCAGTTTGAAACTTCAAATGCGATATAATTTTGGCTTGGACCATCTAAGCTGACTGACATCAACTTGCTATAATTTCTGTTTACGTTACATCGCAATTCGATGACACTCTGGCTCAGACACCAGAATGTTTTGACGATTTTTAGCATTCGTTTAGGATTTTCAAACAACCTGGTCTCTTTTAAAATACTTTGAATTTGTTCTTACGTGGTTTTCCAGATGTAGTGACGACAACATTAAAGTTTAAAGAAGAAAATTCTAACATTTAAACCGACTAAACAATAACATAGTAAACATGCATAATTAAACAGCAACTAAAAATGATAGGTTTTACTAAATCTTTTCCTGTGCAATTATTACTAGCACTGGAGACAAGGATAATAGTTTGTGTGAAAGAGAAAAGAACAGGCTAACTTTGAAGTAAGCCTAAAAGCGTTTAACTAGAAATAGTATGTCGAAAGTTACTAAGCACAAAAGATGAATTGCGTTTATTTTGATACACCCTGTATATTGTTTGTATGCTTTATATAAACAGGCTTACAATGATTTTCAAGATATTTTAGTGAGAATTATTGCAAAATTTAAGCACAAACAAAATCATAGCATCACCGTTGTAGTCTAGCGAGCGTGTTTTATACTGACAGCTAAATTCCAGTATAAATTGTTATTTTTCAAACTTTAAAAATTATTCACGGCACATATTTCTGTTGTGATGGTTTGTGTTGTACTTTAGTTTGTATATCTAAGTTATCTAACTCATTTTTGTTCAGTTTTGGTATCAAATACGGTTTAAAATGTCTTTTGACAGTTTGTTTACGTTTGCTATTTTTAGCAGTTTTTGTGACATAAAACTGACATTTGAAGTAAGAGTATTTATCAGGGAGGTCGCGTAATTTTGAAAATGGGTGTAATTGAAACAACTACAATGTGACTGTTAAATTTTCAAAATGTACGAACATTTGCAACGTATCTGTGTAAAGTCTAGAAAGCACGTTGCGCATTTCAAATTCGTGTGAAAAGTAATTTGACGGCTATTGGCCCTTTCCTGGGACGAAATCGTATCGTTTGCTATATTTTTTGTTGTCTTGCACTATAAAACTGCCAAAACTCAAAACCTTACTGCAATCTTTAGGGGCGGATCCAGCGTTTTGAATGACCGGTTTACTAGGTCCACGCGACTACTGGGTAGTCCGGGGACATGCTCCCTCTGGAAATTTTTTAAAATTTTGGCTTCTGAAACAGCATTTCCTGCGTTCTGACCACAGGGAGCGCCACTATGAGTTATGATTGAAATAATATTGTATTTCTTTTTAAAAACCTACTTGAATCGCTTGATAATTGATTATTTCTTCTCTCGAAATTCTGTAAACATTTTAAACTGCTTGAATCATTATTACTATCACTCTACGTGAAGTATAGATGATCGCTGACAAGTAAGGTACGCGGGCGCGAAAAGACGAAGGCGGCGAAAGAAGGGAGAATTAAACAAAATAATTGAAATAATATTGTATTTATTTTTAAAAACGTACTTGAATCCCTTGATCATCCATTATTTCTTCTCTCGAAGTTCTGTAAACCTTTTAAACAGCTCGGACTCATTATACTTGACGTCACGAGAACAACCTACTTATGGAACATATTGTGCGAAAAAACCCTTCGAGTGTTTCATGTAAAAACATACGAAAAATCAATCGTTTATTTAATCTACTGCATCAGTTGTGAAGATATATCCAGAAAGAAATTGTGAATTTTAAGGCATTTAGAAATGTCATGTAGTCGAAGTTTCAACCCTTTAGTTTAATTCTTCCTTCTTTCGCCGCCTTCGTCTTTTCGCGCCCGCGGTCCTTACTTGTCAGCGATCATCTATACTTCATGAAACGTCATGTTGAGTGATAGTATAATGACTCCAAGCAGTTTAAAATGTTTACAGAATTTCGAGAGAAGAAATAATCGATTATCAAGGGATTCAAGTAGGTTTTTAAAAATAAATACAATATCTATATAAACGATATTTCCAAAAATATTAAATCCCAAATCTGTTTGTTTGCTGGTGATGGAATCATTTATAGAGAAATTAATAGCGATCAAGTTACAAGAGGATGTAGACAATCTAAATAATTGGGCTAACAGGCGGCAACTAAATTTCGATTCCTCAAAATGCTACCACCTACGAATTACAAATAAACGTGTCCCTGAAATATATAGTTATATGATGCATAATCAAATCATTAGCAGAGTATCTTCTACCAATTAAATACATGGGCATTACTATAAACCACAACTTGAACTGGGACAAACATTGTGACATCATATGTTGTAAGGCAAATAGCATGGCTTACTTAGAAGAATCCTTGGTGAATGTAGCGCGGCTGTTAAGTCAAGAGCGTATACTAGTCTTGTCCGTCCACAACTTGAGTATGCTTCTACAGTCTGAAACCCTTACACTAAGATTCTAAGAGAAACATCAACAAGATCGAGATGGTTCAACGCAGAGCTGCTAGATTTGTCTTCAATGACTATTCCAAAGCTATCCACGTCTCTCCAATGATCGACCACCTGGGTTGGGACAATCTCCAACAATGCTACATCAAGCCACTATGTTCTACAAGATCCATCAAGGCCTTGTTGCAATCAGTCTTCCTGATGATGTGTGTCCTTTGACAAGAGCATCCAGGCTGCCTAATGTCTGTCCTTACCGCCAAATTCAGTTATGTGTCAATGTATATAAGTTTTCATTTTATCCAAGAACAATCGTTACCTGGAATCACATCCCATTTAACAATCTTTGCCAATCAACCCCAAGTTTCAAAACACTTGCCATGCCCTCAATTAAGTCACTTAATGTAGCTATAATTAGTATCGTTTTGAATTGTTTGTATTGCACTATATGTTCGTTTTGTAGTCTCAGTGTTGTTGTTGCCGTTATTGCTTTGCCGTTGTTTTTGTTAATAGCATATAACAACATCATTCTAATTACCGCCTAATATATGTGTCATACAGTGATTATGAAGTCTTTCTTGTAAACAAATATAAATATTATCTAGTTTCCCAGTATATATAACTCCTCCCAGTGTAGTATAATACTGTTTTAGGAGTATTTCATTAATTAAAGCGCTACAATTAAAGCATAATTGCGGGTGGTAATGTGTAATTCACGCGATGTTTCAGTCCACGACCCACGACGATATATTGAGTGTTAATTCTGTTTTTGAATAGCTGGAGGGCTAGTGTCATAACTTACTCGGTGAGTACTCGCCCTCCAGTTATTCAAAAACAGCATTGGCAACAAGCAGTATGCAAATTAATCCTTGCCCGTCCTTTAAGTATAGATTCCACTACGCTTGCCATTGCCGTAGAAAATTGCGAACAAAGTTTGACTTAGAAAATTTCGGCCTGATCGAAAAGAATTTTCGTGATAGACCGACTAAGAAAGGTTCAAAACGCATATTGATGCAGATAGTTTTGGTTCAGGAGAATTTTAAAGACTCAAGAGAAGCTCAGATTGAACCTCTACTCATTGAGTGTGAGTGATCTTTTAAAATACGGCCGTTAGTCTAGTATTACAGCATTTCGTAATTGGAAACCATGTAAGTGGGTGTAAATACGCTCGGTATCAAAAAATCAAATTTCAATTACACAATTTTATGAAACAGAATATTCTTTAAATTAGTGATATATGCATGGAAGGTTATAGATTTTCTTTCTTTGGAAAATTACAGGTGTATATAAACCTGTCAAACCTATCTGAATCTGCCCAATATATTACCCAATGATGAATTAAATTCTGTCAGTAATAATGTAATTATATCAATTCTGTTTTGCAGTCTTCGAAAGAAAGAAGCTGGAATATATTACTCATGAACTTTCTAGTACGATGAAAGGCTGCAATCCGGGAGGAAATACGATAAAAACCTCCTTTTCGGTAAGTTTGTTCGAACTAACTGAACTAACCTACGACGACGGTGTTAGTACGTTTCGTGGAGTGTTTTTTAGCACACTTAGTTCACTGCAGTGGTCTAAAAATTAGGAGTATATAAAATACTTTTCCTGAAACTAGAATGTTTATAGGGGACCCATTGCAGTTAACGTAAACTGAACTTCATATTTGTAGGATATTTATGGGCATGATTAGGATAGGAAAGTAAAAAACGCGAATTGCATGACGGGACAGAACATGCGTGTGAGAGAAGTATGCGCGAATTACTGAGAAACATATATTTTATAAGTTGAGTTTTAGTTTATTGAAGTTATTTATACAAACTCTTTCCACCCAGTATGAGTCGAGAAATAATTAACTTAAATGGTCCTTTCAAGCCGGATTGGAAAGACGAAACTTTAATAACATTACGAGAAAGAGTTGAAATTCGCAGCAAGAAGTCCAGTGATTGTTCTACCAACCGAAATTAAGTGTATGACGAATTTCAAGCAGAAAACTTGGAGAAAGACAAGAGATCAAGAACACTCCACAAAACACATTTACGGCGAATGATAATTACGTGAAACGAAAGAACTATTGACGACATTTCACGAACGAAAACGTAAACATCGGAAAAAATTTAAGCATTACAAGTCTACGCTAGAGCGAAAGAGATACTTGACTAACGACCTTGACAAGTCCATTTTAAACGGAATTAAAGACGAGGAAATCAAAGCCGAAATCGAAGAGGCGTTGAAGTTTACGGACGCGATAAATCTGACTTTAATAGCTCTCAAGGAAGCTAAAATATCAAAGGGGAACGAAGGCAAAAATGTCGAGAACGCAAGTCAACATGAAGTTGAAAGTTCAGTCAATCAATCAATCAATCAATCAAAACAATTTGTTTATCCACTGTAAAATCTTCAGTTACAAAGTAATAGAATACATACAATACACGATACACATTTAAAATACGTACATGATAAAGATATTAACTGATTTACAAGATTGCCGTGTGGGAATCAGATTACGTTATCATAATATTTATTACTTGCCTTCTTAAACTGTGGTAACGGTTGGCATTTTCTTATATCTTGCGGGAAACTATTAAAAAATACAGCCACACTATAACAAAAGAGATTTCACAATCTCTAGAAGAGGAAATCACAACACATCGAATATTTCAATCGGTATCAAGGTAAGAGCTAGACTTCCTAAGCTACAATTATCTACATTTGATGGAAATTAAACTAGTAGCAACTAAGAACCCTCAGGAGGAACCGGCATAAAAGAGAGAATCGTGGATTTTTTTGGTCCTAAAGATCCTACAACAACATCAGCATTTGTGGTTGGAGGAAATAGAGAACATACCTGTATTTACTGTGCTGAACCACATTTATCGATTAACTGTACAGTAGTCACGAATGTTACGTAATTTTTTAAACGTAGTGGGAATTTTTGTGCTTGTACCATGAAGAATCATATAAGCAATACCTCCCGATCAAGAACACGGTGTGGCGAGTGTCAGGGACGACTTTATACCAGCATTTGTTCTCAAGGCAAAGAAACTCGCACACAAGAAATGAAGAGCGTTGAGTTACAAACTGTAGAGCGCGGGGGAAATAATAGAGCAGAGAACAGCTCAAAGCAAGACCCAAGGAACAAAGACATCGCAGCACCTGAAGAGTCATTAAAAATGTGTGTCAACACAAAGAACGCAGTTCTACTCCAGACTGCTAAGGGGAGAATTTATCGACCAGATATGCCACATCGTAAACATAAGGCTAGAATCTTCCTTGATGGGCGGAGACATCGAACCAGAAAGAGTCATGTCACAGAAAAAGTTAGAAATGAAATTAATTTAGTAATCTCACATTCAGAATCGTTGGCAATCAAGTCATTTGGATCAAGTGGTGGAACTGCTCAGGTATGTGACATAGTGGACTTATGTATTAGTGTGGACGGAGATTATGATGTGAAATTATCAGCTATCAGTGTACCATTAATTAGTGCCCCAGTGCAAGGGCAATACTTGAAGCATGCAGTGAAGAGTTACCCATATCTGCCAAATTTGCAGTTGGCTGATGATTGCGAAGGACACTCCCCGACTGATGTCATAGTGGGAACTGACCAATATTGGAACCTAGCTATAGTGACCGGGGAGTGGCCAGAGGAGAATCTGGACCAGCTGCTATACATACAAAGCTAAGATGGGTCTTACCAGATTCTGTTAAAGAGATAGCAGTTCAGGCTAACTCATCTACCAATGTTGTTACTACGCATGTGCTGAAATGTGAAGTCGCAGTAAACCAAGAGAAACTTGCCGTTGAGACATTAGACAGAACACTGCAACAGTCCTGGGAGTTAGAATGACTTGGAATTAAACCTACTGAGAGCTCAGTCTATGACGCATTCAACAAATGAATTTCCTTGACAGAAGTACGCAGTTAGTTCGCCATGGAGACAGTCACACCCGATACTGCATGATAATTATCAAACTAAGCGACAAGAGATTAAGTTCATTGTTAACCCGACTAATTAAGGAAGGGCCCGAAATCCTGAGAGAATATGTCACCGTGATCCAGGGTCGGATCCAGTTCCTGAGCTGACTGATGCCTAAGACCTCGCATTTGTAGGGGGGTCCGGGGTATCCTCCCCCGGGAAATTTTGAAATCTATAGGACCTCGGAAATGCGATTTCCTGCGTTCTGAGCGAACTCTTTTGTTCCAATTCATACATCAGAGTCACCAAAATATTTGCTGCATTTTTGGAAAGGACGTAAAAAACTTGAACTTATATCGTAAAAACAACATAATTTCTCTATATAAGAAAACAATATTTGCTTGTACAAGTGTAATAGCAGCAGTGGTACATAAGTCTCTATTAAAAAATAGTCAGTACTGTGCTTCTTGTAGCCTTAACTTTTCTATTGAAAAATATTTCGGCAAAAAATCACGAGCAACGCAAATACACACATGCGTGTAATAAAGGTGTATACAGTGTGATCCACTAGTTGCATTGCTGGACTCAGAAGGCAGTGTTATTGTGTTGTTTTTTAACCACCTTCCCTTATTAGTTTCCACTTATTTCCGATGTTCCATGAGTAAAATCTTCTAGCATTGGTAAGAATGGTGCATAAATGAACTGCATGGCGAATAGCCCACACTCTGAATACTGAGAATATTGCCCTGTGACCAGGAAACCGGTAAACTAACACACAACAAGCACTGGGTTTAAAATTCTATTAGTATAACTAGGCACACACAACCACAAATTTTAGATCAATAGAGACTGTGTGTAAATTGATTTAATGAACTATCTTAGTTGGAAATTGTTTGTCAAATGAACCTACCAAACTGTACAATCATTATGATCAACAATATACCATGACATAATTGAATCATGTCTTCTATCTGTCTCCTTTTGCCTGCCTTTCAACTAATATTAATATAGTATTCTTTTAAGATGTTGTCAATGTAGAAAGGCTGCACAGTGGTATTGATGAATATTTTCCCTGTGTTATTATATAAATGCACATCTTTGTCAAATATATCCATACACTTATCAATGGTAATCCTCAGGGTATATATAGTATTGGGACAATTAGCACTACAAATATATAATTTAATTAAATATATTTTCCAAACTATCCCACTTTTGTAAGCAAATTTCATAATTATATCCTATATATACCAGTTACAGTTACATACAGTATTTATATCGTCCATCATTTTATCATTCCAAGATTAAAATCTGTCAGGAGAATGACATATACAGCATATATATCAAATTATATTTGCACAGACAAAGCATATATACTCAACTATGGTAGGCGAACAAGCCCAGGTAATCATCTTTGTTTGCAAAATATCCAGTGTACAGTAATTGCCCAATAACTCAGGCACTCTTGTCATGAGGCATGCCAGCTAATTTCCATATAAAATGAAAATTAAATGTAATAGGAGATACCACTGGAACTTGCAACTTGAACCAATTACCTTTCAATGTAAACTCCCCCTTAATCTTCTAACCAATATTGCACCAGTATTAGAAATCTCATTAATATTAACCTGCATTATCATACACTGTAATTACATACAGAGCCTGATGCAAGTCTTGACCCACACCATAGTTTTATTTTTAGTACCGGTATCCAATCAGAATTTGCCAGGAGAAATGTCAATTTCACATAATTTAACAACAAGCTAAATATAGTTACAATCACTAAATCCATAATTATTTAATTATATATAGCATTAATCAACCAAAATATAAAAAAAATACATTAAATATGGCATGAATACTCATGCTAGAAATAGTCAATCAGAGTTACAACCATAAAGGCAGTTGTAGGACACAAACGTTTAACAACATGTGTATCAGGTCTTCATTTTTCTTTGCCCGCCAGCTGTGAGAAAAATGAAGGTCTGGGCTCAGGTTATAATCCCATGTAAACAGACATGAAATTTGCCTCAGTAAAGCAAGCTGTCAAGTTTGGTATTGGGGCTGGTTTGCCTCCAGACAAGCAAACCTCTGTTACTCGGTAAAGACTGTAAAATGTCAAACTACCTCATCCAACCCTCCCCCCTTGCTGGTATAAGCAACAGTATTAAATAGACACAAACTTTAATTATTATGTCAATACAAACAAATCTGCATTAACTGTGGAGCCCATTTTCCACTTTATACACTTCTTGAACTGAACAATGAACTACAATGTAAAATATTGATAAATTTCACTTACTTTAGAGCCCTCAGTTCGAGTTTCATATAGACTATATAGTGGGCATCTCACAGTATAAATATACTTCAATTCTTGTACTCAGATGAAAGATTAGATTCATTCCAAGCCTTGGTAATTAATTCGGTAATTTGTCCTCCGGTTTCTCCGTCAATTTCGAGAGATATTTCTTCCCATTATTTGCCTCATTTGCATATAGTGTTTGCATATCCTTGCCGCCATGACTTGAATCGAATGCCTCGTTGCGTCACAGTAGATTTTGATTTTGCAATTTGCATCAGTGAACCGATGCGAGCACCCGCAATCTGCATGCGATGCATCGCTCAGCGGACAAATCTACCGTGACGTAGGGCTCTAAAACCATAGATTTGATGATGTTAATGTCACAGTAGATTTCACGCGGAAAAGGACTCGGGACCGATGCATTCACTGATGCAAAATGGCTGAAAATCGATGCAAACCAAATCTACCGTGACGTAGGTCATGCATCAGCTTTCTACTGTGACGTCAAAGGATGCGGTAAAAAATAACATCTCTTGTCGCGAAATTATTGACGCTTAAGTGTCGCAAAATAAAAAGTAAATAACAAAAAGTACACATTTGCGAATATTGGACTTATTTTGACAATTTCGACTGTTATTGAGACTATTTAAATTGGATTTCATCCTAAATAGTGTATTCCTGACATGGAGTCAAGTTTAAGCAAATATTTGCGGTTTGATAGCTGGAGAGATTCAAAGATATTCTATTACTGAGTGCTTGACCAAGTATTGATGACACATTGACACCATAATATGTCTATATATTATTTCAAGCAACACGATTTCTCAATTTTGACCGATGCATTCGCATCGTTGGCATCGGTCTGGATCCGCCCCTGCCGTGATCAAGGAACAGTTAGAGAAAGATATTGTTGAGAAAGGTCCAAGCAACAAAAGAGATTTAATTGGGGAGATGCATTACCTTCCACATCACCCGGTAGTGCGCAAGGACAGAGAGACTACAAAGGCTATATAGAGACACGATGCATCGTCGAAGGAGAGAGGTGGTCCATCCTTAAATCAATGCTTGTATACCGGCCCACCTTTAACTGAGAATATAGCAGATGTTCTGATGAGATTCAGAGTACACAAGATTGCGCTGGCGGGAGACATCGAAAAAGCATTCCTCATGATCTCAGTGGTTGAGGATGATCGCAACGTACTTAGATTCGTATGGTTGATGATCCCTCTTGAAAGAAACTCCAAACATGAACGAACTGAGATTCACTTGAGTCACTTACGCATTATCTTCGAGTCCGCTTTTGCTGAATGCAAGCGTAAAGTATCACATCTCAGCACACCAAAGGGAAGACCCAGAGTTTGTAGAAAGATTGTTACAGTCATTATACGTGCGTGAATGATATTGCAACAGGTGACGAAAAAGAAGACGAGGCCTATCAATTGTACGTCAAACTGAAGAAGAGACTAGCAGAAGGAGGATTCAAAGCCAGAAAGTTTGTGTCCAATTCGAAAGCCTTGATGGAAAGAACAAACGAAAATTAAAACATCTGAACACTAAGGACGAGAAGAGACAGAAATTCGAGAACGACACGTCCTGCAAAGAAGAAGACGAGTCATTTGCAAAAACTATGACCGGACCGCAAAGTTCGCAACCGATGACGGAGAAACTACTTGCTTTCGACTGCAAGCAATTTCTTGACGAGGAGCCTAAATAACATCCAACAAAGAAGGATGTTATTTGGGTACGAGTACGAGTATGGCTGAAGTCGAAGGATCCAGCGCTCGATTCTTGCTGAAGCTTTCGCCTTTCGACTTCCATAAATCACTTCTAACGGTTTGTGATCTGTAACTAGAGTGAATTGGCTACCATATAAAAACAAATGAAAATGTTCGACAGACCAAATTATTGCTAAAGCTTCCTTTTCTGTTTGTGAATAACGTGTTTCTGTGTCTGTTAAGGATCTGCTTGCATATGCAACAATTTTAGGATCATTCGTACCTGGTTCCTGTTGTGATAGAATTGCTGAGATGCCCACGGGACTAGCATCTACAATGACCAGTGTCTCTTTGTCTTTAGCAAAGTATGACATACATGGTGCTGATGCTAAGGTTGCTTTCAATTTGTCAAAACATGCTTGATGTTTTGGCAACCATGTAAATCGTGCATTCTTTTTCGTCAGTTCTCTAAGTGGGGCAGTTAAAGTCGCAAAGTCACGAATATATTTGCTACTGTAGTTAGCCATGCCTAATAAACTACGCACTTCAGAAACACTAGAAGGCTGGGGAGCATTGAGTAAGTCGTTTACCCGTTTCGGGTCAGGTCGTGTGCCTTCTCTGGAAAATATCTGTCCGAAAAATTCCAGCTTATCTTCGAGGAATGTACACTTTCCTCGGTTTAACTTTAGACCAGAATTAGATAAGCGGGCAAGGCATTTATCTAAATTTTGATCATGTTCAGCTTGTGTTTTTCCGAACACGATTATATCGTCTGCGATATTTATTTTTTTTTATTTTTTTTCTCGTGTTAACCGCCTATAATATTTGTATTCTCTTTTACATAGTTCATTTCTAATATCAACTGCACGCTACGAAATACTAATCCTAATGATTCCATGTGCTCTCCGGTCACATGACTATATCTGTCACTCAAGTCTATGACATCACTACACATGCATGCAACAAGTTTGATGTTTCTTATTGCTGCCGCAGCGAGCGAGCCTGAAGCGAGCGAGCAAGGCAGCAGATCCTAATTTTGTTTTGTGGGTCGAAATCAAAATTTTCTATTTGGCGCATTGCATGACGGTACCAGTGAATTTTAACCGTGGTGCAGCGCGGTCAGGCATAAGGTAAACAGGCAATGTGATCATGTTTCATCTTTGGTCTTCTTTTATGGAAAACCATAGCTGGCTTAAAGTGATCAAACGGCATTTTGTTGGGTGCTTTTAGCATTATACGGCGGTGCTTTTGGCATCATACACGGTGCTTTCGCCATTATACGCGGTGGTTCCAGTATTATACGCGGTGCTTTCACCATTTATATACGCGGTGCTTTTGCAATTATACGCAGTGGTTCGAGCACTATATGCGGTGCTTTTAATATTATACGCGATGCTAGCTTTCATTCAACATTATTTCCATATTCTTTCCATGACATGTATATGATTTAACGATTGCTTAAATTTGGTATGTGCATGGTTGACAAATGCTTTTTGCCTATGGTCTGCAAGGACAATGACATGCTTTCTGTGTATATACATGT